ATCCTTAGCACGCTTAAGGCTACAAGCGCGGGCGTAAAGAAATTAGGCAATGGGCTGACGGACTTGGGAAAAAAGATGGCAGCCGCTTTGCCTGGGCTGCTTGGTTCGGTCGTTTCCTTGGTACTTAGGGCCGGCGGAGAACTGTTGAAGTTCGTGGGGAATAACATTTGGATATTAGTCGTCGCTATTGGGGTGGTACTCCTGAAGAAGATGAAGGGTTAATCTTATCTGGGTACGTTACTGGCGGCTTATCGTCATCGACTGTCCTGGGCGTCCTCGACTGGGGATAAGTAAAGATAGTATTCGCGCCGCCTTGATAATGCGGAACTAAAGGTATGACAGTCATAGTAGAAATGGGTTTATGATTCCAAACAGCATCCGGCAGGGAAAAGCTTGCATTCATGCTGGCATTGATTTGAGCAACACCCTTATTCTGATTAGATGGGTGGGTGTCGCTGGGTCGAATTTGAAGCTTCGCATATTGACAATTAGCTATCACGTGAAAAGTCACCGGCGACTGGCTTTCCGGGCTTACGTGTGAAGTCTCGAACGTAAAGTGTGATGGGTGCCTGTTATTTATCTTTTCCCTATGGGGTAATAATGGAACGTTGGCATCATCTATTATTCTAAACCCAAGATTACAGTGATTCCATAGGTTAACTTCGATGGTGCAAATGACTAATCCTAAGCCCCCAACCTTTACCCAAATTCCGGTATCGTACCACTCATCCACCCGGTAGTACTTCTCCCCTAAGTAATGAAAAAACCAATCTTCTTTTACGTGTGGATTCATATATTTAAAGACTCATTACCGTAAGAGTGCTAATGGTCATATGGTTATAAGCTGCATCTATCTGATTTTCTATGCTATTTATGCAAACGCTCCCGGTGTCATCTACTCTTATCTGCAGCTTTACCTTCCCGTGGCAATCAGCAACCATGTGGAAACTCCAAACGGAATGATTCTCGCCGCTGCCGGGGTTGGGCTCTACGGAGAAATGTACAGGCTCCCTGTTATTATCCTTCACCCGCATAGGCTGCAGTATGCCATTGTCATCCAGGAACCTAAGGCCCACGTTGGCATGGCTGCTCGTGCCAAT